TAACTATATCCGTCTTCTCTTATGAAGCATTCTGATCTAGGTACTACGTGCGTTCAGTGTAACCTCTGACCCTGCCTCGTATGCCTGCTGCTAAGATCATATGATCTAAGAGACGCGTCCCTGCACAGTCTTATGATCAGATGATGAAGGGTAGGCAGCATCGGAGCCCATCCGTAGTGGGGCAGGGGCGATACCTGAGAGGGAAGTGGGGGCAGGAAGGAAAAGACAACTGATCAATCCGGCCGTCTGCTGCCGCGACCAGTGATCTGTAAGGGGTGTGTGGTGGTATGTGGTGGTGGTGTGTGTGTAATATGTGAGGTGTGTGGTGGTGTGTGTGGTGGTGGTGGGGTGTGTGTGATCTGTGTGGTGTGTGTGATCTGTGTGGTGTGTGTGGTGGTGGGTGCTGGGGTGTGGGTGATCTGTAAGGTGTGTGTGGTGGTATATGGTGGTGGTGTGTGTGTGATCTGTGAGGTGTCTGTGGTGGTGGGGTGTGTGTGATCTCTGTGGTGGGTGGTGGTGGGGTGTGTGTGATCTGTGAGGTGTGTGTGGTGGTAGGTGGTGGTGGTGTGTGTGTGATCTGTGAGGTGTCTGTGGTGGTGGGGTGTGTGTGATCTGTGTGGTGTGTGTTTTAGTGGGGTGTGTGTGATTTGTGAGGTGTGTGTGGCGGTGTGTGTGGTGGTAGGGTGTGTGTATGATCTGTGAGGTGTGTGTGGTGGTGGGTGGTGGTGGGGTGTGTGTGATCTGTGTGGTGGCGTGTTTTAGTGGGGTGTGTGTGATCTGTGAGTGTGTGTAGTGGTGGGTGCTGGGGTGTGTGTGTGATCGTGAGGTGCACGTGCTGGTGGGTGGATAGAGTATTCCATAAGTTCCTGTGCGTGCCGATGCGTCCGTCCCGGCTGTGGCGGGCAGGGCAGGAGGCCCCCAGGCCCACGGTGGAGGAAGGACTTTGTTGCTGTAGCTGTAGCAGTGCTCTGGGATGCTTCTTCCCCGTCAGACCCTTCTAGATGGCCTCCGCGGCACAGAGGCAAGGGTGGTGATGCCTCCGCGGCACAGCTGCCGGCTCAGGGTCCTGCCTTTCCAGGAGCGGCCCCCATGCAGTGAAGCCCCGGGCAGGGGCGGAGCAGGGCAGTTTTGGATGCCAGCTCCCCCAGGGGACGCGCTCTCAGGGAGCCACACCTCCCTCTGCCCAGTCTGCCGTCTCCTCCCATCCTTCAGGGCCTCTCTAATAAACATTCCCAGGAAGACACCCGGGGAAGGGTGCTGGGAGAGGGGACTGCTGGGAGACAGCACTGGAGAAGTGGGTGGGGCCTCCCTAAAGGACCTGCTGGCCCATAACGTCCCTGTCCCCATTCAGGCTTCGGTTTCCTAACCCAGTGCTGCCGCTCTCAGAGGCAAGGGCGGTGATGCCGTGAGAGGTGTGAGCCAGGCGTGAGCCCCGGGCCAGCTCTTGCCTAGGCCTTGTGCACCTGCTGCTTGGCGGGAACTGCGCAGCTCTGCTGCACCTGCTGTTCTTCCTAGATGAAGAAACAGAACCCAGGACAGGTTTGGTAACTGCCTAGACCTCGTGGTAGACAGTGGCAGCACCTGGAATTAAACACAAGTCTGACACTGAGTCCACAAGCCTGTGTATTTCTCCCAAGGCGGTCTCCATTCCCACACAGAGCAAAAGCCCTGAGCTTCCGGGGGTCTGAGCTGCTCAGACCCTCTGTATGGCTGGAAGGGAGGAAGTGGATGCCACCTTTCTCTGTGGGTGCTAAGTGCTCAGACCATGGCCAGCATCAGGGCCTGCGCCTGCCCTGAGGCAGGAGCCCAGGTCTGAAGAGGAATCTGGGTTCAGTTTGAAGCCCTCAGCTCGGAACATTAACTAAGCGTGACCCCACGGGAGCCTCTTGCTCTCTCCACCCCAACTCCATCTTTTCAGCAAGAAAGAAGGAGAAGGGGGTGGGAGCGGGTGCCAGGAGTGAGGACACTGGTTGGAAGGGGTCCTATTCAACCTTTTATCCATCATCAAAACCCGCCGTCGTTAGGGTAGCTGTACCCGTCTGTCCCAAAACATTTACAGACAATCACACGAGCGAGGGTAATGACTGCAATTACAACTGAAGGGCCGGCTTGATGAATATTAAACAGCTTTGAACATCAAAGTAGCGACTGAAGTGGAAACCTAATATCTCCCCTCCCAGCCCCTTCCGCCCTGAGAAACGCCAAGGCAGATGGCCTGGCCCTCTGCAGGGCTGTCGGCAGCAATCTGCGAGAGTCACCAAGTGGCACTTTCGACAAGTCCTTCTGTCCGGAGGCTGGCCTGAGAAATAAAGGGATCTGCATTACCCTCTCTGCAGTGGTCAGCAGTGGGCTACGCCTATGAGGGGCGGCCAGGGTCTCCCTCCGAGGGGGCTCGGCTCAGGGACCACTGCAAGGGACATCTTGCTGGACCAGCAGGGCTCAGCAGCAGCCCCTCCCCAGTCCCGTCCTGGTTCTGCGGCCACAGCACGCCCACCTGGACGCCACACGCACATTCTCTTATGCACGAGACAGAGCCCCTGTGCTCATGGAGTTCACGGGGTGATGGCAGAGGCAGACCACAGGTCATGCCCTACAGACAGGGAGCAGCTAGCTGCTGGGAGACACACTGGGAAGGGAGGGGAGGCGTGGCCAGGGCAATGGAGGAGCAAAGCTCACGGGGCAGGCCGAACTGCGCTCCCGAAGAACCCAGCCCAGCTGGGGAGACAGGCACATCGGCAGTGGATGGGACAGGTGCCATGGGAAGCTCCAGGGTGATGGGCGGTTGGGGGCTCCTTGACCAATCAGGGAAGGCTACAGAGAGGAGGTGACGTGAGCTTGGAAGCGGGAGAAACTCTCCTCCATTTAGCTTCCTCCTGATCCCCCCCGCGCCCACTGGCCTGCCCACTCTTGCAGCTCAACCTTCACCTGCCTGGTTGCCACGGCTGTCCTGGTGGGGGCCGTTCGTGAACTGCCAGACGACTGGGAGCAGCTTCCTGAGAGCTGGATGTCCCACCTTGGCCCCGGGCGGCCTTTACCAGGGAACAGGTGCTGCGCTTGCTGCCTCCTCCCAGACCCTGGCACTGGTGCAGCCTTGTGATGATGGGCTCTCAGGTGGGGTCTCTGCTGTCAGCTGGGGTGGAGAGAATGAGCAGCCCGTGTGACCCCCGTAGAAGTCTGGGGAGGACCGAGACCCTCCTTCCCATAGAGAGCGCCCCGGAGGGCCTGGCAGGCCCCTCAAGCCCTCTGCCTGCCCAGCTGCCCCGCAAGCTCAGGCCAGGGCGCGACAATGGACATTCTATGAACGTCAATCCCCTGTGGCTGTGCAGCACCTGAAATGCGGCTAGTGAGGCCGAGGAAGACAGTCCAGTGCTGCTGGCACTGAAGAGCGCAGGTCTACTCACAAACCCACCCTGGTTCCCCCAGCCTGCCGGAGGTCAAACCTGCGGGACTCAGGACCACGCCCCTCCCTCCGCCCCGCTTCTGTCCGGTGAGCTCAAGACTCAGCCCCTGGAGGAGGCTTTCCAAGGCTAATTGCGGCGCCTCCTCCGGTCTCCCATAGCCCTTGGCTTTCCTCTGATCACGGCACCCACCGTGTGCATACCCGCCCTGATGACTGAGGGAGTGTGCCCTCTGGGGCGGGGCGGGGGGCTTCTGCATGCTCTGTGTACCTGGAGACCGATGCACACTCCTTCTACCTGGGGGCTCCTGCACACCTGCCAAGTCCTGCCTCCTCCACAGACCCAGCTGTTCCCCTCCACCCTCCCAGCTGAGTCTCAGGGATTTGGAGACAGTCACTGTTGAGTCTGGGGGCTCCTAAGGAGGCATGGAGTTGGGCCCAGAGAGGGGTGGAGAGTCTGTGAGAAGGGAGGGGGAGGCACTGGCAGCTATGCCTGCATGGACTCTGGAGTTGGGCTATGTAGCAGGGAGGCCAACAGGGAAGGGCCACGAGAGCCTAGTGGGGTGGGGCTCCGAGAGCACTCAGCTGGCAGGTGGCAGGTGGACGGCCCTCCCGCCCTGAATCGCCACACATGCCTCTCATTACCATAAACGAGAATGGCTGCTAAATCCCGCATGAGGCTAAAAACTTAACACCCAGTAAACATTTATTGATTGCACATAACCCTGATTAACCCCCCCGAGCACCGGAGGCTCTGCTAGGGTGGGCTACAGGATCTGTCTGCCTCCTCTGGGCAGGTAGCTCTCCTGCCTCTGCCTCCCTGCTCTGCCCACAGCCATCAAGCACAACCTCCGCAGAGCCCTGTGTGATGAACCCACGACTCCTTCACTCTGGAGACAAGAAGAGATACACACATTCCCCCCAAATCCAAGTTCAGCATAAAATAGCCGGAGGTCAGGAACAGGGTACTGGAGGGAGTGGATGTCCACAGTGAGTATGTGAGGGATGGCTTCCTGCAGGAGGAGGAACCTGAGCCTGACCATGAGGTGAGGAGGACGTGATAATGGGTCGGGGTCTGGGAGACCGAGCACCCGGGACGGGGGAACGAATTTGCACTCTATTCTGTAGGTAACAACACTTGCACAAGGTACTTCAAAAGCTTCATGGAAAAATGAATTAAAAGATAAGTCTATTTTGGTGCAAAAAATTTTGTAATTCATTCTTAGTATTTTGCCAAATACACACTTCCTGAGCAGGTGGTTAGCCTAGCAGTTAGGATGCCTGTGTCCCACATCAAAGTATTGGGTCTGCTGCCAGGCTCTGGCTCCCGACTCCAGGCTTCTGCCATGCAGACCCTGGGAGGCAGCAGTGATGGCCCAAGCGCTTGAGCTCCTGCCCTTCCCAGGAGGCCTGGACTGTGATCCTTGCTGCCAGTTAGGCCCTGGCTTTGGCCCCAGCCCAGCCCCAGCCATTGCAAGCATCTGGAGAGGAAACCTACAGATGGGATCTACACCTCTCTCTCCTCTCTCTATAGGATCTACACCTCTCTCTCCTCTCTCTATAGGATCTACACCTCCTTCTCCTCTCCCTCTCCCTCTCCCTCCACCCCTGCTTCTGTTCTCCCACTCCCTGCCTGTCAAACCAACAGCAATTTAGCAATCCCTCCCCAGCACATTTTCCATGAACTTTTTGGAGACTGCTGGTATGAAGAGTCCTTTCCATTCCAGGTCAGTTCTCAATGGGGCCAATCCCAACCCTGCCAGCAGCCCTGTTCCCGAGCCACAGCAGAAACATGGAGACATGGCTCTGCACCCCGACAGCATCCTCTACCCCGCGCCGAGGGTGCCAGCTGCATGAGAGGACCGTGGACTCCCAGGAAAGGGACCACGTGCCTCCCCTCTCTCCTCCAGCACAGCCTGGCACAGGAGAGGAGGCAGAGCCGTGCTGCCCCTCGACCCAGCTGAGGGCTCATCTCTCACTCCTGCCCATCCCTCTGCCACAGAGCCCCAGCCTCCCGCCCTTCACACTCGCCTCCACGCCCAAATCCCACTGCCGGCGCTCTCCGTCCACTTGAGGCACGACTGCCCTCCATATTGTCTATGTGTGCTCTGTCTTCTGGGGCCAGTGTTGTGGCCCTGCGATGCCACCATTCCATTAGGCACTTGTGTCAGCCCCGGCTGCTCCACCTCGGATCCTGTTCCACGCTAATGCACTAAGGAAAGCAGCAGAAGATGGCCCAACTCCTTGGGCCCCTACACCCGTGTGGGAGACTCAGATGAAGCTCCTGGCTCCTGGCTAAGCCCTGGCCATTGCAGCCACTAGGGGAGTGAACCAGTGGGTGGAAGATCTCTCTGTCTCTCCTTCTCTCTGTAACTCTGCCTTACAAATAAATACATAAAAATCTTTTGGGCCGGCGCTGAGGTGTAGCAAGTACAGCCGCTGTCTACAGTGCCAGCATCTCATATGGACACCGGTTCAAAAGTCCCAGCTGCCCCACTTTCTATTCAGCTCTCTGCTATGACCTGGGAAAGCAGTGGAAGATGGCCCAAGTGCTTGGGCCCCTGCACCCATGTGGGAGACCCAGAAGAAGCTCCTGGCTTCTGGCTTTGTATTGGTCCAGCTCCAGCTGTTGTGGCCATTTGGGGAGTGAGCCAGCAGATGGAAGATATCTCCTTCTCTCTCTCTTTATGCCTCTGCCTCTCTGTAAATCTGCCTTTCAAATAAATAAATAAATCTTTAAAAAAATCTTTTAAAACAAAACACCAGGGTACTTCAAAAAGTTCTTGGACAGTATGTATTATGAAGAAATCATGCACGGATTCTAAAACTTGCTTGAACCAAAATACATTTATTGTTTAATTCCATGAACATTTTGAAGCACCCTCATATCGTGCCTTCCTTCTTTGTTCCCAATACAGGTGACTGCCAATGCTGCAAGTCACAGGGATTAAGTTCAACAAGCCTCCCCTCAAATGAACCAGACTGAACTTGGCAAACTCAAATTCAACACTGAAACCCAGAGCCAGACGCTGTCAAACACACAAAGGCAGCCACACGGGTGAGTGTGGCCCCGAGGAGCTCAGAGTCAGAGGGGTCGTGGCGGGCAGGGGCACTAAGAATTGGCACCAGGGAGAAGTCACAGCTGTGGGGACAGTGATGCACGGGGCTGGCGTGCTTGGAGGGATCAGTGTGAGTGGAGTGAGCCGTGTGTAAGTCTCTGGCTGACACCTGGGGTGGGCAGCAGGAGTCGCCTCACGTGTCTGCAGCACAGAACCGGCTGCAGAGCGGGGCGGTGGGGGGGAGGGTGAGAGGGAGGTTTTTATTCTGGGGAGGGGCACCTGCTGGCTGTCGTCCCACCTGGATTCCCCCAACCCCAGTCCCCACCAGCTACACCTGCCGCTCAGCTGCAGACATGGTGAATTACCCCAGGGCGAGAGGTCTTCTCCCACTGCAGCCATCGCTCAGCTTTCTGGGCCCAGAAGCAAAGGAACAACAGCTCAGAGAGTGTCCTGGACTTGACAATGGTCACGCTACGAGCATGGGCAGGGCTGCGGTCAGAAGCCAGGTTTCCTGACTCCCAGCACTGAGTGCTCCCGGTGCATCCCCTGCAGCACAGAGTAAGGCCCCGCTCGATGACAGCAGTGGCAGCCGTGTCAGGCGCTGCACAGCACGTGGCAGGACCACTCGCTGCTCTGTGGGGCTCACTGAAGAACACGCAGCTCATTTCGTCTTGAGAGCAAGCCAGGTGAGGAAAGCGGGGCTCTGAGGGGCTCCCTGGGGAGCTTACGAAAGGTCAACAGGGAGTGCAAGACAGAGCCAGGCTCAACCCTGGCTGTACAGCACCACGCCACGTACCCACAGCCACACGCTTCCGGAGAAGCCCGGGATTCACATCCCCACCTTGGCCTTGCCCTTCATCTGCGCCTCTCAGCAGCAGGGTCTGAGCTAACCTGCCTGGGGGACAGGCCCAAGGCCCAGGCCTGGCCTGGCTGTGCCGCAACCTGCTCGGTAGCGGCGTGGCTGGGAGCCATGGCGGGCAGCCACGGCACAGGAAAGTGTGACTTCTGCACGGCTGCACTGCAGTCCAGCCACCCGGGGGCCCGGAGACTTGGCCAGCATGGCCTGTGTTATGACAGGCCCGGGAACCCTAAAAGCGAAAGACAGCTTAATAACGCAGCCAAGGAAACACAAGTTCCTTGGCCTGGCTCTTGAGGGCAGCCAGGAGCTTAGCAGGGTCGGTGGGGGGGGGAGGGATCTGCCAGCCTCCATCTCTTGTTACCTCCAGCCCGGGCACTGTGGGCTCCAGGAAAACCCTGTGCCTGCCCCACTTCAGCTTCTTCCACAGACAAGTGCAGCCCGGCCCTGGATGAGGCCTCCACGGCTTGCGCCGGACCATGCCAGGCAGCCCCTGGGAGCACCAGCAGGGTTCTGGTGTCCAGGGGAGGAGCCTGGCTCCATGGCATATATGTTCCAGGCACACAACCAAGTGCGGCTCTTCGGGCTGGGCTGCCCTAGACCCTGGCAGCTGGGCTTGGGTGGCTCAGGCTGCACCCAGAAGGTGCCTTTCATATCCCCATCCTCCTTTCACGGCACAGTGAGGACACGGAGGGCTCAGGCAGGACTCAGGGCTTGCAGGTGCCTTGTAACAAAGGAAGGGAGCCGAAACTTGCACCTGGGGCCTTAGAACCCAATTCCCTGCACACTTATGTCTGTTCTCAATTTTTTGGAAAAAGATTTATTTATTTATTTGAAAGAGTTGGAGAGAGAGACAGAGACAGAGAGAGGGAGGGAGAGAGATCTTCCATGCACTAGTTCGTTCCCCAAATGGCCGCAACAGCTGGAGCTGGGCCAGGCTGAAGTCAGGAGCCAGGAGCTTTTTCTAGGTCTCCTATATGGGTTGCAGGGGCCCAAGCACTTGGGCCATCTTCTGCTGCTCTTCCCAGGAAATTAGCAGGGAGCTGGATCAGAAGTGGAGCAGCAAGGACACTAACCAGCAGCCCTAAGGGAGGCCGACATCACAGGTGGCAGCTTTACCCACTACACACAACGCCAGCCCCATCATGTCCTCACACTTTACCCACCTACCAGACCAGGTCCCAGGCCCCTGGAGACCACGAGAGCAGCAGAGGAAGGTCTTACACCAGAAACCAAGTCGGCAGGAGAACCCTCGTGGTGTTCCGTGGGCCCCCTTCTGTCTGCGTAATAATTGACAGGGAAGAGCTGAGCTTGAGGGGTCCCTCGAGCAGTAAAATGAACGGCTGGAGGCGTCACTGGGGACCTCGGGGGGCAGGCGGGGGCACCTGGGTGTACGAGGGATGAGGAAAGAGGGACACGCTGAGAGTTTTTGCCTCTTCTCTCCCTCCAGATTTTCTGGATTTCTTTCTTTTTTCTTTTTCTCCCCATGAACACATAGCCTAGTAAATGTTCTCTCCCACCAAACTGGAAACTTGGGAATGATCGAAATGTGTTCTGTGGCCACTGGAAATTATGCCTTGCATATGGGTTTCCTGCAGCACAAAGACGTTCAGGCTGCATGAGGAAGTGCATACAGGAGGCTTCCGAAGACAGTGGGTCACAAGGATCCTGCTTTTATAAAAACACATTCAACTGTGTGCATGTGGAGATGACACACAGAGAGAGGGAGACACACATATTTGTATGGGGGAACGTCTAGAGGGATATGCTTCGAATGTTAACAGTGGTTATCCCACCCGATGGTGGAATTTTATAATTTTTTGTCTATGCTGTTTATAATGATTACCTACTTTATAAGAACACATACTTGTATGGTTTTTTTTTTTTTTTTTCAAGAGGAGAAACAAAGAAAGAAGACACTTTGCAATCAGATAGCTGATGGGCTGAAGGCTTCTGAGCCTCAGCTTCCTCACCTGTAAAATGGGCCCCCAGTGTCCACTCCCATGGTAGCTGCAAGGTTTAAGTGAATGACACAAAAGATGGGTGTGCGAGGGGCTGCTCGGTCTGTCTAGCTCCTCCTCTCCACTCTCTCGGTCCCATGCCCCCCTGGCCACCTCCTGTGTACCCTGTCCACCCTCTAGGCCTCATGCCTGCCCTGGCCACCTCCTCTGTACCTCGACCTCCTTCGTCTTCCTCCAGCTCCTTCTCCTCCAGGTCTGTCTGGCCTTGTCGTCAACCTGACAGCCAAGGGGCCAGCTCAGCCAGGCACCTTCCTCCCACCAATGTCACGACAGGGCAGTGAGGCCTTGCAAGGGCCCTAGATCTTCACTTCCCTCCTGGAGACGGTGTAAGGGGAGGGCAGAGTTGGCATCAGTAACCCCGGCTGCTTGCGGCCCTTTGCCACGCCCCAGCTCACTGCGGTCAGCACTTGGGTCGCTGCTTCCAGAAGGCAGAGCTGACCGTCACAGTGCTGCAGTGCACAAACCCAGGCCGGGGGTGGGGAGGGCCGGAGGTGACGGTCTCTCCAATCTCCCGCAGCCCCTGCAGCTGACCGCCTACTCTCCAGTCTGGGCTCCTGGCCGGCCCCTGCCTCCCTCTGCTGCGTGGTGTGCTCTGACTGACACTGAGCATCTGCTAGCCACCTGTGAGACACAAGTCATCCTCACTGTAGCAGTGGGCGGTCGGTGCTCTTACCACCCCATTTCACAGGCTTGGAAACTGAGGGTCAGAGAGATTACATAACCCACCCAAGGTCAGAGGGTAATGCACCACCTCAGATGGACTTCCAGGAAACACAGCTTGCTGCAAGGGACCTTCCTGTCCACCTGGCCTGGGTCGGGATGCCTCCTCTCAGCCTCACAGTTAGTTCTGCTGCCCACGGAGGTCTGGCCACCACACAGGGTGTGTGTGTTGGGGGGCAGGGGGTGCGGGTGTCTTCAAAACACTTGTGCTAATGGAATTTTAAAGTTACTCTGGTACAAATGTTTTTTTTTGAAATCCAGGCATAGCTTTTTCATACTATACATTTTCCATGAACTTTTGGAGCTCAAACAGGAATACCTAACCAGCAAGATTCGAGGAGGGCCAGAGAAAGTCATGAGGCTCCTGTCACTCAAAGAGTAGCAAGAATGGGTCAATGACCCTGAGTCACAGAGCCCTGGAGCGGGCGTGTGGCGTGCGGTTAGAAAGGCTCAGACCTGCCCTGGACCAAGTCTCTCCTCCAAGGCTCTTCATCCACAAGACAGACACAAAAACCGCCCGTCTCACACGGCACGCAGCTCTTTCACCCTCGCGCCCACTGCAACTTCTCGGTAGTAACAGAGCCCTCGCGCCCAGCCAGGCACACGGCTGTCCACGAGAGACCCGCTTCGCACGCTTCCTCATGGTGAGGTGAGGCCAAGGGACCAGTGTCAGTCCGAGGCTGGAAGTGGAACTGCCTGCCCTGCCCCTGGCCTGGCCCAGGCCTGCAACACTGATGGCGGGGCGCTGGGTCACCCCCGACTACAGGCAACACCTGGCGATGGCAGAGAAGTGAGACACGAGGGAGCCCCCCCTCCCCGGAGCAGACTGCCAGTCCCGGACAGAACTTGATGCAAAGAAAACGTGTGTGTCCAGTCTAATGTGGTTCTCCCGAATGCACATGCCTGTTAAGTTCCTTGCGATGCCTGCATGACACTGCCACGTGCAGGGACACTCAGGGGGTGTAGCACACGGGGCGGGGGGAGCATTCTCAGGCAGGAATTAACTTTCTCCACTGGAGCTGCTCTCAGGCCCACCAAGATTCCTGCTGGTGGGATAGGGTGGCTGGCGTTGTGGCGTGGCAGGTAAAGCCGCTGCCTGCAGTGCCGGCATCCCATATGGGTGCCTGTTCATGTCCCAGCTGCTCCACTTCCAATCCAGTTCCCTGCTAACGGCCTGGGAAAAGCAGTAGAAGATGGCCTAAATGTTTAGACCCCTGCCACTCACAGAGGAGACCTGGATGAAGCTTCTGGCTCTTGGCTTTGGCCTGGTCCAGTGCTGGCCATTGCAGCCACCTGGGGAGTGAATCAGTGGATGGAAGAGTCTTTTTTCTCTTTTCCTTTCTCTCTATAACTTTGACTTTCAAAATAAATAAATACATCTTTAAAAACAAAAAAAGACTCTTCTGAAACTGTAGTACTGGTCACGACTTTCCCCTCAGGCCTCTCCTATGATGGAGACAATAAGAGAGAGAAAGAGGGGCCCGTGCTGTGGCGTAGCAGGTAAAGCCGCTGCCTGCAGTGCCAGCATCCCATATGGGCGCTGGTTCGAGTCCCAGCTGCTCCACTTCCGACCGCTCTCTGCTATGGCCTGGGAAAACAGTGGAGGAAGGCCCAAGTCCTTGGGCCCCTGCAGCCGCGTGGGAGACCCGGAAGAAGCTCCTGGCTTCGGATTGGTGTAGCTCCGGCCATTGCGGCCAATTGGAGAGTGAGCCAGCAAATGGAAGACCCCTCTCTCTCTTTCTCTACCTCTTCTTCTCTCTCAGAGTAACTCTGACTTTCAAATAAATAAATCTTAGAAATAAAAAAGAGAGAAAGACGCAGGCATCAGGCAGCAAGCGTCTTTTCTTCTTCGCAAAAGGACAGGCCAAGGAGCTCCGGCACGGCAGGAGCTTCTGGACTCATCGGGGGCAACCCCGTCCATTCTCCAGGAAGCACTCATTCGGCAAACGCTGCTGACAGGGACAAGGCCCTGGACACGGATCCCAGAGTCCTGTTCTGGAGGGGCTCATGGGCTCTTAGGAACACCTTGTGCCCCCAGCAACGCCACAGCTCCCACACGCAGGCCCCATCCTCTCTGTCCCTGTCTTGTCTGGTTCCTTGTCTTGCTACCACGGCCAGCAACATTGCTTGTGTTCATAAATTGTTAACAATCACAAGACAGCAACAGCCAAGCATGGAAAGCTTGGGGCTGTGTGTGACTGTGGGTCTCACATCCTGCCACTCAGTGCCCAGAGCTCTGTGCTGCGCACAGTAGGGCAGCCACGAGCAAATGTTGGAAGATGCAGGGTCTGGATGCGGCTTTGTTTTTCTTTGTCCCAGGCCTAGCACTTTACCCCTCTTGGAGGAGCGGCCTGAGGGAGGCCCCGGGGTCAGAGGCTAGAGGTCACACATAAAGCAAACTTCCCTGAACGAGCGAGTGGGCAGAGCAAGCAGCAGGCATTGCTGAGCCGTCCTCCTTGTTCCTTGCCACAAGATATAAACTAATCTATTTAGCTAGAAAAACATGGTTTATTGCAATCTAAGTAATTTGTATTTCTTCTTCTACCACAAGATGTAAACTAATCTAGTTAGCTAGAGCAAGTTGGTTTAACCAAATTCAGAGTAATTACCCTCCAAAGCAAAGCGATGCGTGTGTGTTTTTGGTTTGCTGGGCTTCCCCCTCCCTCCCTTCCCGTATTCAAGGATTGAGACGTAGATGAACTTATGATTAAATAAAACCCAGCCGACTTCGGGTCTGCTGGGGCCTTGGCCTTTCTGGAGGGTCCCAGCCTCCATCTCCACCACCTGGGATTTCCCGAAAATGCGCTGGAGGTGGCATGGAAAATGCAGTGTGCTCTGGTGGAAAACCAACTTGTAACAACATTTCCTGCAGCAGGGGAGTTCCAACCCACTGGGAGGGCTTCGAGAGGGCCGCCCGGGAGCTGGGGGACACCGGCTCAGGCCCCCCACCCCGAGGTAGCCCTTGGGGTGCCCAGCCCAGTACTGCAGTGGGAACTGATTCTTCTCAGGCCCACCTCTCCTCCCTGCCCATGATCATCTCCCAGGGTAGGGGAGGCTGAAGCTCACGGGAAAATGATTTGTCCATAGCCACAGCCATGGCAACCCAAACCCAAGCAACGGCGACGGCACGTGCACAGCTTCTGCTGCAGGTGGCTGCCCGGTTCCCTGAGTGTCTGGGAAGCCCCTGACCACGAGAAAGCTCTTCTTCCCTTCTCCAGCTGTTTCCCCACTGGGCCCAACTCCACTCTCAGCGACCGTGCATGGCAGCCCTGCAGGCAATGGCTTTGTCCTCCCCCAGCTGCTCCTCTCCAGTTGCTGCAGGACTTCCAATTCCCTGGCTTCCCACTCGGTAACCGCCCCTGGATGGGATCCACTCTCCGTGAGCACACGGGAGCCCTGGAAAGGGCTCAGCCTTCCTCCAAACTGCCCTGCGGTGGGATCGCGGCTGGAGTGAGCCACCAACGTGGTTCCGACGGCAGGGGGATGGTTAAGAGTGACCTAGACGTGCTTGCAGCCGCTGGAAAGGACAGTTCTGGGACAGGCGTTTGATGCTGCTTGGAATGGCCACATCCCAGGTCAGAGAATCTGGGCTTGAATCCTGGCTCCACTTCCGATGCCAGCTTTCTGCTAACGTGCACCCAGCAGGCAGCAGGTGATGGCTCAAGTGCTTAGGTCCCTGCTACCTACGTGAGAGACCTGGATTGAGTTCCTGGTTCCTGGCTGTTGCAGGCATTTGGATAGTGAACTAGCAAATGGAAAAGATCTCTCTCTCTCTCTCTCTCTCTCTCTCTCTCTGCCTCTCAAATAAAAATAAACTAATAATTAAAAACATGATCCCAGCATCTCTTCTGCTCTGGGCCCTTAGGCCAGAGTTCCCACTTCCCTACCTGATGGCTATAAAGGACACTCAATGTGCCTGTCTTCTTGTCCCCCGAGGCCCCACACAGACCCAGCACAGCACATGTGGTGGTCAGCACCCCAGGAAGGTGGCCCCCGATCCCAGCAGCCTGGGCAGTGTGGGGTTCCGACTCCCCCTCCTCCGCCCCTTCCTGCCTGGCCTTCCAACTCTGGGAGAGAAGCAGCCTTGTCCCTTCTGAATCATGACATCAGGAAGAGAGGATTCCGAGAGGAGGAGAAAGCCTTCTGGGTGTCCACACAGCCCAGTATCGTCTCTCTTTTTTTTTAACAGTCAGAGTGGACAGTGAGAGAGAGAGACAGAGAGAAAGGTCTTCCTTTGTCGTTGGTTCACCCTCCAATGGCCACCGCGGCTGGCATGCTGTGGCCGGCGCACCGCGCTGATCCGATGGCAGGAGCCAGGTGCTTCTCCTGGTCTCCCATGGGGTGCAGGGCCCAAGCACTTGGGCCATCCTCCACTGCACTCCCTGGCCACAGCAGAGAGCTGGCCTGGAAGAGGGGCAACCGGGACAGGATCCAGCGCCCCGACTGGGACTAGAACCCGGTGTGCCGGCGCCGCAAGGCGGAGGATTAGCCTAGTGAGCCGTGGTGCCGGCCAGTATCGTCTCTTAATCCACACACCAACCCCACCACCGGGTACTGCCGCCGCCGTTTTCCAGGCAGAGTCTGAGGGAATGGCAGAGGCAGCCGCGGAGCCCAGCCTCTGTCCTCGACCCCACCAGGCCCCTGTCTGGGTAAAGGGCTGGGGCTGCTGATTCTCTCACAGTTTCTAGACTCTCTGTGGACATCCGGTGTGCCCAACACACCACCTGGCAGGGAAGTGGGGGCAAACGATCCAGCTTTGAAACACACCCTGGCACCTGGCAGCTGAGGCCTGGAACTCTGACCCCTGCCTGTGTCTCCAAGGGCCCTGCTGGGAGTGGCCTTGGTGAGATGACCCCTAGCCTGGTGCTCCCAAGGTTGGGAGCAGCATCAGGAACAGGAGCACCAGGCAGACCACAGGGTGGCAGGAATGTTTTTTTCTTTCGGCTCCCTCCTGGGCTCCCATCCTGGTGACCTGCAGGGACTCTGCTGAACTCACTCTTGGGGGCCTTGTGGGTACAGTGAGGGAGCCAGGGGTGACATGAGGGCTGTGCTCATGAAGGGAGGGCTGGCACTCATGAGCAGTGGGATAACTGGAATCAGGGGTGAGCGTGGGAACGCAGGCTCCGGCTTCCATCCCAATAGACACAACTGCCCCGGCACTCATGGGGCCTCCCTCCCTCTGCTGCCAACCCCTGCAGGGCTGCACCCAGCCCCTCCATGGAAAGGAAGAGCTCCCACCTGGCACTGGGCAGGAAGCTTGCATCAGCAGGATCTGAGCTGCACCTTGGTGGGAACATGGAGATGGCAGGCATCCCCCCAGCTCCTGCGAGGGCCCTGGAGTGAGCAGAACTGGTCCTAACCATTCATCTGTTCACTCACTGGGCGCTGGCTGGGCCTGACCTCAGCAGGCTCTAGGCTGGAAGCTGAGTGATCAGTGGTGAAGCCGGCAGACACAATGCTCTGGGCCTGGTGCCCGCCCTCCAGGAGCCCAGTCATGGGGAAGGCAGAGGCGTCAACAGCTCAGGGACAGTGAGATAAAGATCAGTGGCAGACAAGTGAAGCTGGGAGCAGGGCGGGGCAGGCAGGTTGTCACAGGTGTATTCCAAGCACCCAGAACAGTGCCAGGCACACAGCAGGTGCTCAGTCTGCATGCCGTCACCGCAGCAGTGACCTGACGACGGGGGCAATGGAATCCAGGCAGACAGGACATCAGGCACAAAAGCTGGGGGGAAGGGGTGGGTTCTGGAGAGCACGAGACCTGTGCAGAAAACTAGGAGCGACTTCCAGGAACTTGGCCTTGGGAGGCCAGGGATGGGGATGGGGGCTGCAGACCCTCGGTTAAGGCCCCTAAAAGCTGGAAATCTCTGGGCCGAGACCACACAGTGTGTCGGGGATGGATGCTGGAGCCGAGGCCAGTGGGCCTACGCCAAATACACAGGAATCACACTTGGAGCCTGCACAAGGTCATTCCCACTCCACCACACCCAGCCACTTCACCCAGGGCTGTCATCCTGAGGCCGCTTGAGGGCATCTTCGCTGACCCCCGAAGACTCCAGAGGGAAGCTAAGATGCCCGGGCTCCCCTCATTTCTAAGGAGCTAAGTGGAGATTCAAAGCCAGGGGATTAGGACACACACAGGTGTGCTTTCACACCCCAAGGCAGGACTAGCAAGGAGCCAGTCTCTGGGCAGCTGCCCAGACAGAACCATCGTGGCTCTGTCTGGTTGGGGGTGGGGCTGTCAGTCTCCTGTGACAGCACATGAGGCAGCAGCTGAGTCTGGTGCACACCCTGGGAGCTGACTATGCATGAGGTGACCCTCAGCCCGCCCCTGTCCGCAGGCGGTGACCCCAAGCTGCCACACAGCCGCAGATGACAGGTCTCAGGGAGACACCTGTTTCTCATTGCAGGCCCTGTGGCTCCTTGGCAGTGGCTGTTTGTTTTGTGTGCATGCGTGCGCGGGTGCAGGATGGGGAGGGCAGAGCCATTTCTGCAGGTCTGCAAGGCCCCTGGGGTTGCTGGCGAGGCTACAGACAGCCCTGGAGGAAAACCTGAGTGGGGCAGCTGCGGCCAGCACAGGCACGAGCTGGTTCGGTCGCCCCTGAAACGCACAAGCAGCAGAGGGAGACAAAGACCCCTGAGACAGATGGGCCCTTCACAAGGCCTCCCCCACCTGCTGCCAACTCATTCAACACTGACTGGGAGTTTATAAGGAACCCGCTGCCGTTGGGAGCCCGAGGACCACAGACAACCAAATGGGCCCCAGAGCCATGGAGCCCCAGGCTGGTGTGGGGAGCACGAGGGAATGCAGTGCACAGGGGTGCCTGCAGAGGGCTGGCCAACACGCAGGGTGGGACTACCATGCCCGGCACGGAGGGCTTTCAGGAGGAAGGGGCACTTGGTGGAGTCTTGGAGGTCAGTGCCGGTGGGAAAGGAGAAAATGACCCCTCGCACAGGGTGGGGGCTTGGGACACTGCACACTGGCTGCAGAAGCAGCCAGCAGGGCAAGGGGCTGGCAGAAGACAGGGCCAGACCCCAGGCCCTTCCCGCCTGCTAATGTCACCCAACCTGGCCTCATCTCTTCCCCATCCACACCCACCACCCCTTTTTTTCTTCTCTTGTCTCCTTTTCCTCCCACTCTCCCTGTTCAAAGCACCCCACTGTCACCATCCCAGCTGTGACCAAAGAGGCACAATCTAGAAAGCTTGGGTAACGTCTCCATACCAGCCAGAGCACTTTACGCAGTTGAGAGTTTGCTTCAAACGTTCTTAGAAGCACGCCATACTTCCCCATCTCACAGCTGAGGCTCGCTCTGAGGTTGCACCCAGAAGCAAGACACGGTGTTCGGCTGTCACGCTGAGTGCAGCACACCGAGGACCATCCCCAAGGACCCCCCAGAAGGGGAACGCAGGCGTGGTGAGAGGGGCGGCTGATCCTCATCAGTCTTCCCAGGCTCCACAGGGCTAGAGACCGCTGTGGCTGCCCTCCTTTCTCTTCTGGGGCACGCCCTTGCATGCCTGTGGCGGCCCCTGACACGCGTGTTGACCCACAGGCGTGTACTGCAGCAGAAGTGCTCCAGTGTCAGCACGCCTGGGTGTGTTCTCGGACAAATTCCTCTTTCCCAGTACAGAGCCTGTGCACATGGCCTGTGCTGTCCCGTCCTCACGGCAGGTATTC